GTGTTGTCTGCTTTGTTTTTTTGTTTGAGCACCCGCGAGGTCTCAGCTCCTGTCACCGCCGCCGGCTGAGAGCTACGAGTGGCTGCAATCTGAGCGCTCAGCACTCCTCCGCTTCTCGCCGGTTCAACGCGATTCTCCTGCTCAGCCTTCACAGTGGCTGAGATTACAGGCACAACCACCCACACTGCGTACCAACTTCCGTTTTTCGTATTGTTTACAGTCAGAGATGGGGTTTCACCATGTTGTTCAGGCTAGTCGTCCCCGCATTCTTCGACCTCCAATGATCCGCGCTGCTCGCACGGCCTCACCAACAGTGACATGGATTTACAGGGCCATCGAGCCACCTGCCCCGGCTTCCCGAATCCTGGCTTTTATGTACCTCATTTCCTAACGTTTCGTTCTTCTGATTTGGCAACAACATCTAAACTCCTTCAAAACAAAAACAAACGGGCTGTGTGGGTGCACAACTACACCCCCCCTGCCATGTGTCGGGGCAGTCTTGCGCTCGAGATGGAGTCTTGCTCTGTCACCCAGGCTAGAGCACAGTGGCACAATCTTGGCTCACTGCAACCTCCACCTCCCAGGTTCAAGTGATTCTCATGGGTCAGCCCCCTGAGTAGCTGGGATTACAGGCACCTGCCACTACGCCTAGCTAATCTTTGTATTTTTAGTAGAGACGGGGTTTTGCCATGTTGGCCAGGCTGGTCTCGAACTCCTGACCCCAAGTGATCCATCCGCCTCAGCCTCCCAAAGTGCTGGGATTACAGGTGTAAGCCACCATGCTCGGCCGACAGAGCACTTTCAAATGGTTTCTATTCTTGACGTAGCCTACTTAGAACAGCATCTCTCAAGAGATGGTCTGAGGACCCTCTGTGTCTGGAACTTAGAGGTGGGGCTGTTCTAAGATTCCTGGGCTCTACTTTGGACCCACTGAGTCAAAATCTCCAGGAATCTCATTATAGCCAGTTCTGCAGGAAAGTCATAAACATATTCAAGTTTGAGAATCATTAGTTAAGCAACAGCAAAAAGTTGGGAGAGGATCCAGTTAGCTGCTCTGACTATAAAATATAAAATATTAACACTGTGCTTGAAATCAAACTGAATCCAGCAGTGTTTTTTTAAAAGCTTCATTTTGATTGCCACAGCCCCAGACAGGGAGTGAGTGAGGCAAGTGGAAAGAAGTATGTTCTCCACACAGGCATCAGATCTGCTCAGGAAAATGTGCGTGAGGAACCTGGTGCAGAAGTACTGCCGGGGGATCACAGCTGAGCGGAAAGCAATGGTAGGGACATGATGTCTGCGGTGGCAGGTGGTGGAGGGGGTGAGAGTGGGTCCTGAGTGTCAGTCCTCCTCATCCACCATTTCACCTATAAGCAGGGGGTCATGCTGGTCCCATGCCTTGAAATGTTTGATAATTGCAGGTAGACCAGCAGAGAGCCCTGGATGAATGCCAGCTGTTACTGTAGTCAGCACGGCTCCCTTTGTTACTATGGGAAAACGATCACAGTGGCTCCTGCCATTCATCCACGGGAGCAGAGAACGTAGACCCCTTTCTGCTGGAGATCTGTTTTTCACCGTGCTAACCTGCGGGTCTTTTGCGTAAAGGGTACTATTTCAGGGTTTGTGGCCTTTCTCTGTTGGAATTACTCAACTCTGCTGCTACGGTGAGAAAGCAGCCATGGACGATGTGTGCATGAATGGCATGGCTCTGTCCCAATAGAACGTTACTTACAAAAATGGACAGCAGGCTGAGTTTGGCCCGCAGGCTCTGGTTTCCCAATCCCTGATCTACAAGAAACTGCTCTGGGAACTCTGAAAAATCTACTTTCAGGAAGGTAGTAAGAGAGCAAGCAGAAATGTCAACCCAGTCTCTACCAATATGACTTTTAGGGCATTTTGGCCAAAGCCAGGAAGGTGTTCTGACTTGTATGCTCCAGGGTAACAAGGCTCCCACAGTTTATCCAGCAAAGGATGTGACATCAATGGGTCTAGAGCTCCTCTATCCCAAAGAAGCCTGTGGCTACCATTTTTATACTTTCAATTGTGTATTACCAGATGCAGCAAAAGGTAGTTACAAGTGAAATCTTCAGGGGAAGGAAAGACGGCTACGCAGAAAGTTTAAATCAACCCTTTGCCAACAGTCGGATAAGTAAGTACGTTTTCCAGCCTATGTATTTGGCTTTCCAATTCTAAAAGGAGTCAAAGGGTGGGGTGCGGTGGCTCATGCCTATAATCTCAGCACTTTGGGAGGCCGAGGTGGGCAGATTGCCTGAGCTCAGGAGTTCGAGACCAGCCTGGCCAACATGGCGAAACCCCATCTCAACTAAAATACAAAAATTAGGAGGGTGTGGTGGCATGCACCTGTAGTCCCAACTACTCAGGAGGCTGAGGCAGGAGAATTGCTTGAACCCAGGAGGCGGAGGATGCAGTGAGCTGTGATCATGCCACTGTACTCCAGCCTGAGAGACAAAGCGAGACTCTGTCTCCAAAAAAAATAATAATAATAAGTCAAAGGAAGATGCTCAACTCTGCAGCATTTCCTGATGACCATTTCCCCAGCTGAGATCTTGGCACAGAGGTGCATAACAAAGCTAGCAGATACCAGTGACTTTCCCGCAGGATTGGTATTTTAGTGATGATTCATGGCCTTCTGGTTCCCTCTCTAGATGAAGGAGACATTAATCCCAAAGTGCTTCAGCTAATTAGCCATGAGAAGATCCAGGTAAGGCAATGTGTGTCCTCAGTCTCAAACAGGATTCCCTCATCGAGTCTAAAGCAGGGTCAGCTTTCTCCATAAAGGGCGCACTATTTAAATGCAGGGGTGCAGCTGGGCAGCCGGGGCTCTCAACTGTGAGGCTTTGGGTATTAACTAAGATGATGGGGAACAAATGATGATTAGATCATGGCTGCTGTTCTCATGATCCCCCCGTCACCCTACAAACTGTCTTGGTTTGCTTTCCTACACAATTGAGTGAAGTGTAGCCATGAACTTAATCATGAAACACCCCCGTATTGGTGAGAGGCAGTGTGCCACAGTGCCTGGGCGCTGACGCTGGCTTTGAACGTAGCAGCCGTGAGATCCTGGGCAGGCCACTTAAGCTCTTGGTGCCTCTGATCTTCTGTGAATGAGGATAATGGGGTTACTGAGAGGATGAATGAGTCGGTGGGTGGGAGGTGCTCAGGATGCTGCCTGGCACACAGCAGCAGGTGCAGCTCTGGTGATCATGTGTGCCAGTGTCTGCTCTGCCCCACTTTTTTTTTTTTTTGGTTCCCTGGGGAATAGAAGCCACTGTGCCTGGATTGGATTACACTGTGGCTGTGAAAGTTTTCATCTCTGACCATCAGAGCAGACCTGCAAGGCAGGTAGCCATAGCCTTGACTTCCTCAGAGGGCAATGCAGCTAGGCAGAGCTAGGAATCAAAATCCCCACCATGCAGCCAGCCAGGAAAAAAAAAAAAAAATATATATATATATATATATATATAATTGTATGTATATATATTTTTATAAATCTGTTTGAGCTTCTCTGAATGCTTGACATCGCTTTACTGGGGTCTGAGTAGCAAGAAACTCAGTACTCTGCCCCGCCTCCCCGCCATGAAGTCACCTTCCCCTTGTAGTATGGTGTCCCGGTCATTAAATATGACAGAAAAGGCTTCAAAGCACGGCAGCGGCAACTCATTCTTACTCAGAAAGCAGCTTACGTGGTGGAACTTGCCAAAATCAAGCAGAAAATAGAGTACTCAGCTCTCAAAGGTAAGAAGTGGGCAATCTTAAAACAATGCACTGAGTTGACTCAACTACTAGAAAGTCCAGTAATGAAGCTCCCAAACGGGAAACACAAGTGTAGGGTGCCCATAAACCCCGGGGTAGCGATGCACACCTGTAGTCTCAGCTACTGGAAGCCTGAGGCAGGAGGATCACTTGAGCCTGGGAGTTCGAAGTTGCAGTGAGCTGTGACTGCGCCACGCACTCCAGCCTGGGCGGCAAAGTGAGACTCTGGCTCCAAAAAAAACCCCCAAAAAACCAAAACAAAAAAACCATCTGCCCTCCTCCCCTGGCGTTGCCCAGCCTGGACTGCACCCCTTATTCTGGCATAAATATTAATAGCACCACTTTACTCAAGTACCCAGACTGGCAACAGTCTTCTTCCACGGCGATCGGAGTCCATTAGCAGGCTGATTTCTAAAGTATGCCCTTCATCCTTCTGGGCCCAGCTAGGAGAATGAAGCATGGGGTTGGGCAGCCCCTGGGCGTATCTCTTCTTCTCTGTACTCACGTCAAGTTGTCTAGTTCCTGGCTCCTAACTCTGGATCTGTCTTAAGGTGTCTCCACCAGCAATCTGAGAGACGGAATCTTAGTCATTCATGTTTCACCAGAGGACAAGCAAAAGGTAACTGTCAGCCACCAGTGTCTACTAAAAGACAGAAATGATATACTGCCAAAATGTTAAGTTGACCACCGTGAAACTTGTCTGTCGGTGTGTCTGTTTCTTTAAGCTGTGAATACTGAAATTATGCCTTGTCTCCTCCCCACCCCAGGGGGATGCCGTTTTGCAGTGTGGACACATGTTTGAAGCAGTTACTAAACTTGTCATGCTGGTTAAGAAGGAGAACATTGTCAATGTTGTTCAAGGAAGGTAGGTGGTTTCATCTTCAGCTCAGGAAGTAATTCAATGTCACAGTGTTTATTAAGACCGAGCATGGTGGCTCATGCCTGTAATCCCAGCACTTTGGGAGGCTAAGGCGAGCAGGTAACTTCAGGCCAGGAGTTCAAGACCAGCCTGGCCAACACGGTGAAACCCCATTTCTACTAAGAATACAGGCCGGGCGCGGTGGCTCACGCCTGTAATCCCAGCACTTTGGGAGGCGGAGGCGGGCGGATCACAAGGTCAGGAGATCGAGACCACGGTGAAACCCCGTCTCTACTAAAAATACAAAAAATTAGCCGGGCGCAGTAGCGGACGCCTGTAGTCCCAGCTACTCAGGAGGCTGAGGCAGGAGAATGGCGTGAACCCGGGAGGCGAAGCTTGCAGTGAGCCGAGGTTGCGCCACTGCACTCCAGCCTGGGGGACACAGCGAGACTCCATCTCCAAAAAAAAAAAAAAAAAAGAATACAAAGATTAGTTGGGCTTGGCAGTGCACGCCTATAATCCCAACCTCCGCTACCTGGGTTCAAGTGATTCTTGTGCCTCGGGAGGCTGAGGCACAAGAATCACTTGAACCCAGGTAGCGGAGGTTGCAGTGAGCCGAGGTCACATCACTGCACTCCAGCCTGGGCAACAAAAAAAAAAAAAATTATTACAGATCAGGAAAGATACAAATATTGTTTTCACTCCTGCTTGCCTCCTGCTTCCAACATAATCAAGCACCATCTCTACCAGTAAGGGGTGAGAAACAAGCCTCTAGTGTTACATCCTCGCCCCCTCCCATAAAGAACTTTTTTCCGTCTTCATCCCTGTGATCTTGGGTTCCAGAGAAATGAAGTCAGTGAAGGCAGGATATCCTGGAGAGCTGTTTCTTTTCCCTCATCCTGTGCTGTTCCAAGTTTTAACAACCAGAGGAGCACATTTGTAGGTGGAATAAGGAGAGAGAGTTGAGTGCTTTGAAATGTGTCGTCTTTGTGTTGCTGTACCTCTGGGGGAATACTCAGCCCCTCAGAGCTTCAGCGTGACAGGGAAGTAGTTCCGCAGACCTCACACTGACCCTCTGAAGAACTGAATGTGCTCACTTGATTTTACGGTAACTACTGAAACATGTAGGTTACCCAGCTGTGGCAACAGCGTTCTTCCTTTCCTCAAATATGCTATAAAACACTGTACTAAAACAGGAATTTGATCTTGAAATTAGTAGAATGTCGTAAGTGAATTTCTTTTGCAGACCAAAGGTTGAGAGAAGAAAATACAGTATGTCAGTAATGTGTCACTTTGTGTATTTTAAGTTTACAGTTTTTTATTAGTCCGGGAAAAGAAGGCACAATAGTTTTCAACACTGGACCGGAAGAACAAATCTATAAAAATAAAAATGGACAATTAACAGTGGTGAGTGGCCGTCTCTGGGAGGGAAGTAAGCCGTTTTATAGAATGTAAGTTAAAGTTCTACCAATTTCAGTCGTGTAGATTGACTGGATTCACAAGCTATTTATTAATAGTTCATTTCTGCCCTCTATTCCTAATTCTACATCTGTAAGATAGGAAGAAATTGATACAGAGATATATACGTCTAAACACTGAATGAGAAAAGAAGAAAAGCTTACCATCCTTAAGTTGTCAGGGAACCAGAAACTGACATAAAACACTTCTCAAATAGCAGAGTCTCACTTTTCACTGGATGAAGGCTTTATGCTCATTACAGTGGCTATCCATAACTTCCCTCCACATCGAAATCAATGCGCTTGTGTCCCACCCAGATACTGAGACTTAATTGGTTGGAGGTGTGGCTTGGGCTTCAGGATGCAAGAAAATATAAATGTAAGAAAAGTATGTAAGAAATACATAAAAAATATGTAAGAAAATATAAACTCGCTTTTTGGAATACATGTGTCAAAGGCTGCCCATGTTAATACCTTTGGTATAAAACGGGTCTAACAAGCACAGAGGTTTGGGAACCATGGCTATGCTAGAGAGAAGTCTAGCCCGAGCACACAAGTATGCTGCCTTCCCTGACTGTGCCCATGCTGGGCTGCTGGGCTGAGCATCCCAGTGGTCCTCGCTGGCAGGTAGTATATGGAGCTTGTTTTGATCCAGTTTTGCTGAAAAACGACATGTTAAAAGCAGAGGGGGCTATATCTTTAAAATGTTTCTTGTATTATACAAAGAATTTTGATACAAATTAATTAAAAAATGGTCTGTGAACATGGAGTGTCTCATACACATTGAAATTTAAGTGGATTTACCTATGAAGTCATTTTGCAGGCCAGGTGCGGTGGCTCACACCTGTAATCCCAGCACTTTGGGAGGCCGAGATGGGCGGATCACCTGAGGTCAGGAGTTGGAGACCAGCCTGGCCAACATGATGAACTCTGTCTCTAGTAAAAATACAAAAAGTAGTTGAGCATGGTGGCACATGCCTATAGTCCCAGATACTCAGGGAGGCTGAGGCTGGAGAACTGCTTGAACGTGGGAGGCAGAGGTTGCAGTGAGCTGAGATGGCACCGCTACACTCCAGCCTGGGTGATAGAGTGAGACTCTGTCTCAAAAAAATAAAATCATTTTGTAGATAAAAAGTAATTGCCCCTAGACACAATGAACTCCTTTGGGGACAAGTTAAAATAAGGATCATTTTGGATGTAGACTGTAAGGTGTCTTTTTAGTTTACATGCTGTCTTAAAAGTGACACCCTGGAGACTGTGTCTCTCTCCTCTGGAGTCACATGGAGTCTGTCTTCCTCCCTGACTGGTTCTGGCTGAAGAGGCTGACAGGCCTCCATGCGCCAGTTTCTAAGTCTGGCTTATCTCATGGGAGGTGGCACTGGCTTCTCACAGGCCTTCCACACCCACCTTGCTAATGGTGACAGTTGAGGTGATAACTGTTTCCTTTTGAGCAAAGGGAGCGGGCAGGGCTGCAAACTGAAGTGTGACTCTCTCCCAGGTGTCGGTCAGGAGGAAGTCCTGATAGAGGATGACATCTCACCTCTACCACCGCCATTTTTGCTCCAACTGAGGAAATTACAGGGAAAGCAGGGATTGGATCCAGTTGGCTACCTCTTCAAGGAACCAGGCCCGCAGCACTAACGGATCACATCTGAAGAAACTGAGGGGCGTGCGTTAGGCCAAAGCCTAACCCCAGCTTCTCAGCTGCCTCGTGGCACCTTATTAAATTGTCACCTTCTGGACACAGACCCCAGGTCACCCAAAGGCATGATTCTAAACACCCTCGACAGGACCTATGTTTAATGGGCACTCCAACGTGTCATTAGAGGGTGGACAAGATTCTCTACCTCTGTCAAGCTGCCCCGAGACATGATGCAATACTGTGTACAGTAAGTTCTCAAATAACATTTCATTATGTTGATAAGACATCTGATTCCTGGGCAAGGCCACTGTCTGAGTGGAGTCTGTACGTTCTCCCTATGTCTCTGGGTTTCTTCTGGGTGCTCTGGTTTCCTCCCACATCCCCAAGGTGTATGTATCAGGTGAACTGGCGTGTCTATGCAGTCCCAGTCTGAGTGCGTGTGGGTGCGTGAGTGAGCCCCGTGAGAGGAGGACATCCTGTCCAGGGTGGGTCCCGCCTGGTGTCCTGAGCTGCTGGGATTGGGCTCTGGCCATCTGCAACCCTGAACATGCAGGTTGGAGAACGAATGAATACGAATTTTATTGTAAAAGAAAAATGGATATAAAGCATATGAGCACACAAATGGACAATAAATGCCACAGTGCAAAAGCGTGTAGGGAGCCCGTCACACTTGTAACTGGGGAGGGGCTCCTTATAATTTCCCCTTTGCAAGCGTTTATTCACTGATTGATGCGGCCACCGCTACAACCACCCTCACTCACTCATTCACCAAAACTTAGGTAATGATCTTATTTTTAATTTAATTAAATATATGTGTAGCTCATTTATTTCAGTGTTTAATATGAGAAGTGCTTTGGTCTTTATTTAGAAGTTGGGTGATGTTTTTGTGCCCAGCAACATGCTGTAGGAATTGAACTCTTGTTTCAATCCATTAGCCTCATGGTTTTGCTTCAAGTCTCAGCTTCCAAGAACCTCTCAATGACTTACTGTGCATGGTCTGAGACTAAAGGAAATTTCCTAAAGCTGCAAAATTTGAATTTTGCTTTACATAAATGGAACTCAGATGTGTCAAGGGATTGGGTTTGGTGAACTGAAGCCGTCTGCCCCATAACAGTAAATCAGTGGTAACACCAGCTGATTCACCCTTTTTCACGAGCCAGGCAGCCTTTGACCCCAAGACTTCCTTTTGGCGTTTGACTTCAAACAAACACTACAGAAACATGACTCGTCTTTCCCTTCCACCCCGAGCGACTTTAAGGGGGTGAGGCAGAACGTGGGGGCCCTGCCTTTGTTGAAAACCACATTTGAGGGGCCCGGTTATGCCGGGCATGTCTGAAAAGACCCAGAAAACAGAAGCATTTTATGACTTTTATTTTACATGTCCACAAATGTCTGCACAACATACAGTGGCTACATCTAAAACTTTGAGCATTTTTTTTATAGCGCAGAGACGGAAAGGTTAATGACACACTTAACTGTGTTACAGTGACTTTGGGTAGAGCCTTAAAGACAGCACACGCTCCAGAGGGAGGGCTGAGCGTTGTTCACACTCGGGTCCGAATTGCTGTTGTAAGGTACAAAGACACACTTTAACTGGGGAATGGGGTCCCCGCACAGTGATTCCCCCCACAGGAGGGTGACAGAATATGCCAGGAATTGTCTCGGACATGGGCCCCAGTCACCACAATCAAATGGCTTATTTAAAACAAACAAACAAACAAACAAAAACCTTGATTACAACACACCAAAGCTGTTCCAATTAGTAAAAAAATTGTAGTTACTACATTGCAGCGAAACCTGACTCTTTACCAAATCTTGGGCCAATGTTTTACTTGGCTAGTGCTTACATTATAAATACTGGTTTTTGCCCTTAGTGCGAACATAAGAAAAATCAGTTCCTTGTATATTCAGTAACAGAGCTTGGACCAGCCAATGCTGTCTGTTCACTCATGGCTATAATGCAGCCGACAGAATTTGTTCACCATGGAATGTTTTATAAACCTGTTCATATTCCAGAGAGACAAAGACTCAAAACTACAGGTGCAAAGTTGGAGAAAAAGTGAGGGTAGAGAGCTGCCAGAAACACTAGCTCATTAGGCATAGAGGCCACAGCAAATCAAATTGTTCCACAAACTCATTCTTCATACAGACATTTAAAAAACTATGCAGCCAGGTGTGGTGACTCATGTCTGTAATCCCAGCACTTTGGGATCACGGGGGTGGATCACAGGCAGGCGGATCACGGGGTCAGGAGTTCGAGACCAGCCTGGCCAACATGGTGAAACCTCATCTCTACTAAAAATACAAAATTAGCCGGGCATGGGCTGGCAGGTGCCTGTAATCCCAGCTACTCGGGAGGCTGAGGCAGGAGAATCGCTTGAACCCGGGAGGCAGAAGTTGTGGTAAGTGGAGATCATGCCACTGCACTCCAGCCTGGCCTATAGAGCAAGACTCTACCTCAAAAAAAAAAAAAAAAAAAGTATACAATGGCTTTTCCATTTTCAGGGCCGATATTCACTTCGACTTTCTAAAAAAGCTCAACCCAAAAGGCAGGGTTGGTGTTTAAAACTTAAACAGTATAAAATCTTTACGAAACATTATTTTGTAAGCCCTCTTTCCTTAGCAGTTAATAAAATCCAAATGGCCTCATATAAAAGTTTCTCACACGACAGTTTAAAAAGCGTCTGCCCAATACATGATTTTGACATTCAGTTATGATTGTTTCCAAGTTTTATTGTAGGCTTTGCTGTTGGATACAAAATGAAGGCATACAACTGTCACAGGCAGGGCAGTACGTACAAAGTCTAAGCTGTAAAAACCGTTTGAAAATATAAACTCGCTTTTTGGAATATATATGTCAAAGGCTGCCCATGTTAATACCTTTGGTATAAAACGGTAACGATTCCCTTGACAAACCCATCCATCACCTGACACACATTCACATCTCCTGGTAACTACTCTACCTAGTCTAGTCTCAACCACCCCTGTCAGTCACGACTCACTCCTGTTCCTTTGCAGGCACAGAGGAGCCTGGGAGGTAGGTCACTGAGAACACCTGTCCTACACGGGTGTTGCACCCAGCCGGGCTCCAGCAGGGGCCACCTGTGCCCCACAATCACACGTCCCCACCCACAGTCGCACACATCCCTTAAACATGAACACAGACACAAAGCAGACCCAAAGGTATCTATCAACCCATACATCCTCAACCTGTTCACTGCTGGCCACTCTACACTGTGTAAAAATCAGAGGCAAAGACAAGGGGGTCTGTGTTTACAGCAGGTAAGCTCCTTGGGGCTGGTGGTGTGAGGGTGTCCCTGCCTGGATGCCAGGCTGGGAGGAAAAAGGGTCTGGGCCACACTGAATTTCTAAGCCAACTGACTTAGAAAGTTAGCCCAGCTTCATGGGGAAGGAGGCTGAAGAGGAGTGGGATCCCAGGGAGGGGTAGTTTATGAGCTATGCCTGTCACAGGGTCAGATGGCCTTCCTGGAGTGGAGTCAGGTCAACCAGGAGAACAACTGGAAGGGGCTGGAGTTGGGGAAAGAACCAGAAACAGAGCTGGACACTTACTGCCATGGAAAGCTCTGCTCCTACGCAGACACGTGGGGTCCCAGTGAGCACCAGGCCAAAGACCAGCCCAAGGTGGCCAAAGGCTTTCTCCCTAAACAAATGCACCCAAAGTTGCACTGGTCACAACGATTTAGATGCTCATTCAGCCACATTTCCACTGCCACAAGCTGCAATTATCAACAAGCTCTAGGCCCAAAGCGACATGGCAGAAAGCACTTCTAGCAAAGCGGTGGGGATTGTGTCCGGGCCAAACACACAGGAATCAGGAGTGGACCTGCTGGGGCTGGAAGATTATGAAATAGGAAGCAGGGAGCTCAGATACCTCTGGTGGCCTCCAACTGCAGAACAACTCTCGGAACTGTCAAACTGAACCCTTAAGGGAGTGTCACCCAAAAAGCCCATATGGGAAGTCGACACCCACAAAAATAAATACTGCAAACAAAAGTTCTCACATACACTTCACACACATTCATACTTTTCCTCTGAGAACCGAGAAAGCCTGGCTCCAAAGAGTCTCAGATTCTCATGAAAAGTAGAGATCTTAGACACAGCTTGTTCAAAGACAGGGGTCATACGCCTGGGTCAAGACAATCAATTTGCCTTGTCAAGCAATACCAAAATAATCATCTGACTTGTTACAAAAGTATCTCCAGGCTCCAAGGGAAGCAGAAGGGGCCCGGCAGCCTGCACAGGATCTGGGTGTAGCACGGCAGGGAGTGGGGGCGGTGAGAGAAGGGCGGCTCGGTCTCTTGCCTGCTCACTGGTGGAGGTGGGCCCGGTCGTCGGGGCGCTTGATGTGGATCCGCCGCACGCGCTCGATCCGCTCCCGCTCCCGCTCCTCGTCCTCATCCAGGTGGTGGGAGCGCCCTGCCGCCCCGCCTGTGGCCTCCAGGAGTGCATTGTCAGGTCCCCGGCCGTCCTGGGCCTCATATAGCAAAATGTTCAGGGTCTCCTCATAAATCCGGGCTTCGGGAAACTCCACCTGTGTTCCCACAAAATACAGGGCAGGTAAGTTAACGGCCCACCCTCTCTGCCAACACCTGGACTTTAAGCAGGGCCGCCAGACTAAATCAGGCCCCTGGGATTCCACTGAAGGCCACCAGTATTATTTTTAAACAAACTGATATTTTCAATGGCAACACTTACATGTGGCGCTAAGCACAGAAAATCAAGGGGATGCAGAGAAACAGGTCTCCCTGCCCCTAGTTTCCCTTCTTAAAGGTACAGTTTCTCATCATTTTACCCTCTCAAAGATTCTGTGCGTGTCAATATTTGTACATATATTTATTCACACAAAACACACACAAGGTGGTCCACCATACACACTTGTACATGTCTTCCTCTTGTCCCTAACGTAACCTAGAGATCATTCTGGAACAAGGAAATATAAACACAATGCAATTAACCATACTTGGATGGACATTTAGGTCAGTGCTAATATGCTTCTCCTAACAGAGCTGCAACCTTGCACACAAGTCCGTCCACACCTTAAAGCAGTCTCTAAAGCAGTTTTTTGTACAGGGTCCAGCTGGGGACCCCCACGAAATGGACATGAGCCCTCCTCCTTGGCAAATCATTATGTTTGCTCATTGCCCTTCAGGGTTAAGGTGTGATGAACAGGAGGAGGGCCACATAAGCAGGTCCCACACGTTTGATCAGACTAGACTCCACTTTCAGGGTAGAATTCAGAGGTTCCAGTTCTGGGAAAAATGGAGCAGGCACACTCTACCCCGTCTTCCTCACTGACACTACAAAGCCAAGATGCGATGCACGCAGCAGCTAACTGTGGACTCAGAAGTAAATCGTGGCAGGTGGATGGGGGAACGACAGAATTTGGAGTAATGCCCAACGGTGAGTTTATGGTTTGCCGCTGCCAGCACTGATGCAACCTGAAACCTTGAAATGGCACCAGGACAGAAGACCTCCAGAAGGTCTCTAGTGGCCAGGGAGGCCACCGAGTCTAACAGCAGAGAGGCAGGAGGAAATCCTGGTTTTCCTTCCTTTTTTTTAGATATGGGCTCTGGCTAACTAAGCTTTAAAATTTTAAGACTTATTTTTAGAGCTTAATAAGGAGCAAGGGGATTTAGAGACCACATGGTCTGATCCCAACTGTTTCCAGATCGGCAGACAGGTTCAGGAGCGGCGTGTTCTTGTGTTTGTGAAGCTGGTTAGGGGCAGAGCCAGAATGGGAAGCCAAGGGCCTCTTTCCTTTCTCTTTTTTGTTTTGAGAGCGTGTTGCTCTGTCACCCAGGTTGGAGTGCAGTGGCACAATCATAGCTCACTGCAGCCTTGAACTCCTAGGCTCAAATGATTCTCCCACCACAGCCTCCCCAAGTAGTTGAGACTATAGGCATGCATCACCATGCCCAACTAACTTTTTTTTTTTTTGAGACGGAGTCTCACTCTGTCGCCCCAGCTGGAGTGCAGTGGCGCAATCTCGGCTCACTGCAAGCTCCGTTTCCTGGGCTCAAGCCATTCTCCTGCCTCAGCCTCCCAAGTAGCTGGGACTACAGGTGCCCACCACCACGCCCTGCTAATTTTTTGTATTTTTTAGTAGAGACGGGGTTTCACCACGTTAGCCAGGAAGGTCTTGATCTCCTGGCCTCGTGATCCGCCCGCCTTGGCCTCCCAAAGTGCTGGGATTACAGGCATCAGCCACCACGCCCAGTCACCCAACTAACTTTTAAAATTTTTTTGTAGAGATGGGTGTGATGATATGTTGCCCAGGCTGGTCTTGAACTACTGGGCTTAAATGATTCTCCCACCTCAGCCTCCCAAGTAGTTGAGACTGCAGGCACACGCCACCATGCCCAGCTATTTTTTTTTTAATGTTTGGTAGAGACAGGGCTGTTGCTATGTTGCCCAGGCTGTTCTTGAACTCCTGGACTCGAGCAATCCTTCTGCTTTAGCCTCCCAAAGTGTGGGATTACAGGTGTGAGCCACCATGCTCAGTCCTTTTCTTTATTTTCTTGCACCCAGACCTGAGCATTCCTGTGGCAGCAACCAGAGCCTGCAGGAGTCAAAACTCTGAGGGAAGGAACCTTCTTTTCTGATGAGAAGAGCTGTGGTCTCAGCAGGATTGGGTGAATCTAGTTGCTTTTTCTATCTTCATGCTGCTGGGCCCAAAATATAGGCACGGTCACAGAAAGTAGGTGGCAAAGCGGGAATACGTAAACCCCCCAGCTTTCTGGCTGGCTCATCAGAAAAGGGGACTCCAGGGACGCTTAGAGAACTGCAGAGATTACAAAGGAAGAGGAGCTTGAGAAGCAACCTGTGAAGTTGTATATGAACTCCTAGACCCACACCCAGCTGCAAGATCTGCCCCTAAACCGCGTAAGCAGACCCGAAAGAACTGAATGCTGCAAGAGATACTGCCCAGGACAGACGGGCCACAGCGTGGCACACAGCTGGGACAGATGTGAAGGCTATGAAAACCAAACTGTCATTGCAACTACAAACTACAGAAGGCTGGTAAGAGCTTGCAGCCTGAGCCCAACTGGGTCAATTGCCTGCTAAAACAAAAACATCAATGTTCTCCCTAGGATTTAAACAAGGCCTGGAGCCCTTTAACAATATTC